AAAATCATCTAAAGCAGCTTCTGGAATGAGAGTAATAACGGAAAGAGTGACATCAGACTTTGATAAGTGAGGGACAAAGATTTTTTTCTTGTGACATCACCAAAAGACGTAAACCAAGAAGAGGAGAACTTTCCAAACGGCAAAAGAAAGAAAAAGGACAATGTATTCAAAATACTTTCTAAAAGGGCATTGAGTGAGAGTTGGAAGTCACATCCCTTGGTGTGCAAATTGAGCCCGGGAGGGTAGTCTAACCTCACCTACCTCCAGTGTCAGCCCACCTGTCGCCTCCTCCGGGAAGCCTTCTCTGATACCAAGTAGATGAAAGTCCCTCCTCTGGGCTCCCTTGGCTTGTTTCCAGCACCTCGTCATCACCCCCCTCCTACGTTGTCTGTTTACTTATCTGTACCTCCACGGAGCCCACAGCATCTTTGTGGCAGGGACAGGTTTTGCTGCCATTTGTTTTTTTGTCTCTACAACTTCAGAGTCTGGCTGGACCTGGTTCTTGACAGGTGTTCAGAAGCATGAATGTGTGTGGAGTGTAAGCGAAGTCCAGCCCAAACAGGCCAATGAAATCCAAGTAGAAGGATCCTTTGGAGTTGGAGTAAAGACCACGGCTGTTAAACCACGGAGTAAAAACAATGTGCTAATTACAGCGAGTCCCAGGAACACAGGCAGAGCAGGGGAGGACCACGGGGCTTCCCAGGGATGCTGGACCCTCCCCAGAGCACTTCCTGCTGCTGAGGGAGACGGGCGGGCTTGGGCGTTCCTATAACATGGAGGCACCTGCTGGACTTCTCTGGCTTCACAGAGTGTATCGACTGCAGCACGCCCACCCTGTCTTCCACAAGCCTCTCTCACGGTGAGCCTTCCCACATTCATTCCTCCTCACAGCCTGTTTGTACCAACTCCTGGGGTCCCTGCCAGGGAGTTGTTCCTGCATCCTGGAGAATGCTCCCAAGTTGAAGATAAACCCTCCCTTATCTAACCTTAGGATCCATCCCTGGATCTATAGCCCTCAACATCCAGCTCCATGATCTCTCCGGACTTCTGCCGGAGTACGTGGGCTCCATCCTGGGGCTGTTCCTTATTAGGTCAGAAGGTCCCGGGCTGGGTTATGTTGGGATGAACCTCGTCATCAGCCCAGTGCCCAGGAGAGGAGGCGTGGGCAGACCCTGGGGGATCAGGGTCACCTGCTGTCTTGTAGGTGTCCAAGCGAGGGGACAGTGCCCCCCATAGGGAGGACTGGGCACTCTGCATGCTCAGAGGGTGCAGGGAATCTGGGGTTCAAGATTTGGGGTGCATCACCCTGATATCCCCATCCACGTCAGGGTCCCACCTGGTCCCTGATCCCGGCGTGGCTGAGCGGCCCAGGTGGGTGTTTATTCTCTGGAGCTCAGCCGGCCTTTAGGCCCCGGACTGGACCCCAGCTTCTCCCTCCTGGGCTGCAGGAGGGGAGGCCCTCCATCCGCCAAGTAGCCCTCGGCTTCCACACCTCCTTCCAATTGTCCACTCATCCCGCGGCCTCTGGTCACATTTGACTGGATGCAAAGAGCCACCCCACTCCACTGTGTACAAAGTCTACTCCCACATGTCTCTCAGAAGCCTGTTACGCTGCCCCAACAGGACCCCACCCACTACCAGGGGAGGTTTGCCCGTTGCTCGGCAGCCTGGCCAGCGCCCTGTGTGCTCTGTGTCTCCTGCAGGCGGTGGGTGATCCTGGTCCAAATCCCATGTCAGCATTTGCTCTTTGCCACCACTCCTGGTGTCAGCGGAGGCAGATCGGGGTCTCTGGAAGGAGGCTCTGTGAGGAGGGGCTCAGAGAAGCCTGGGGAGGAGGGAAAGGGGAAATCCCACATTCCCACCACCAGTGCAGAGCACCGAGGTGCCATCAGGCTGCGCCACCGCTCTCTGTCGGCCACACTCTCCGTCGGCCCACCACACGCCAGAGCGCTGAGCAGGGCTGGGCTGGACTTCCCTCAACCTGGAGGAATAGGCCCCCAAGCCAGGAACCTTCTGCTGGTTTCCTTTCCGATCTGAATACAGAGATATACTGATCCTTGGCACCTAACTCATGGGATCCTCGTCCCCAATTCCCAGTGTCAGGAGTATAGAAAGAAGCAGTGATGGCAGGATAGAGGTGCCAGGAGAGGTACCAGCTCCCCAGAACCTGGAGACCAGACCCTGGCTTCGTAGAAGTGTCTTCTGCGGACCCAGAGAAGTTTGGGAGCTCCGAAGTGCCTGAAAACACTCTCCTGTGAGGGAGATGCCCCAAACAGCCAAAGGAGCCACCAGCAGTGGCCGACAGCAGGAGAGCCAAGTGGCCTAGACCTGGGCTGGGCCGGGTGTGTAGGAGTGGGCGAGTTTGGGGAAGGGCCGGCTGCTCATTGAGCCTTAAGCGTGAAGCAAACGTCACAGCTACAACAAGCTGGAAAACCGTCATCTAAGGCTCCATACACTTGAGTGAGCCCCTCCCATATCTGGGTTCTGTTACACAAGAAAGGAGTAATCGTACCCCTCAGAGGAAATAATGGTCTCTCGGGGGGCGAGTCAGCAGGATGAGCGGAGGAAGGAGGTCCACCCGGAGCACTCCCTCCCGCAGGGTGCACAGGCTGCGCTCACGCCCCGAGGCCGGCAGGGTCCCCGGGCCCTGGGAGTCGGGGCTCAGGGCAAGAAGCAGAGCCGGAATGCAGGGAGGCCGGAGCACGCAGCAGACATCCTTGGGGCCCCATTAAGAGTTCTGTACTTGACATGAAGGCCAGTGGAAGCCACAAAGGGTTTTTAAAGGGAGAGGGGGAGGTGACACCATCATCGTGCATTTGTAAAAGATGGCTCCAGTGTGAAGACCAGACTGGGTGACGGTGGCTGTGGGTGGATGCAGAGGGAACCTCGGCAGGGAAAAAGTGATTTCAGAGCCAAGTGATTTCAGAGCCGCTCCTGGCTCTTCTCACGGGTTGGTTCCACTTAGGGCCAGCTATTCAGAGCTAGAAGTGGGAAAAAGGAAGCACTCACCACTTTGCAAATCCTCCCCCGTGAGAGCAGCTGGTACCACTTCCTGTGTCACAGCAAATGCTGGTTTCAGAAGACGGAGTTTGGAGTTTCGGAGTTTCGGGGTCTGAAAGCAGAAGGGAATGTGCTCTGGCAGGACCAGCCAGGGAGGGGTTCCTGTGAGGCGCCGGCCTGGCCCGGGGGAGGAGGCCCCACCCACCTGCCGACTTGCAGCTCAGCAGAAGCCACGGCAGACCCAGGGGCAGGTAGGCATCCAGGGGGGTCTTCCCGGGCCCCGAGCCCCTCACATTCTGGAAAGGGCACTGGGGAGGGGGTGGAGGGACTCGGTTCCCTCGTCTCTGAGTCTGAGGAGCTTCAGGACACGGGGAGGCTCTCCTTGCCTGTCAAGGGGGCTCCTCACAGCACGGGGGGTCCGAGGTCTTGGTGCATGATCTCCGCCTCCAGAACACACCACAGTATTCAACCCACACTCCATTTGGTTGATTTCCCAGTAATTCAACTCAATCATGCCTCTGGCCTTGTTCTAGAAACAGAATTGCCACAGGTAGACCTGTGAAGTGCAGGTCATCTTGGTACCCAAGACAGAGATCTCCATGCTCCCTGCCAGTTAGGGCAGAGCGGGGTGGACACGAGCCTGTGAAGCCTAGACAACCCCTTGAAGAAAGACCGCCGGGCCCACGTGTAGATCTCCACCGGCAGGGAGGGGCCGCGGTGGTGCCAGCATCTCTCCTGCAATCCAGCACTGTCTTTGCCACTGTTACATGCACCCCGCAGCCCTGTTCCTGCGGCCCAGTGCTGTTTCCACTGGACTCCACCAGGCGCCTAATTTGGGGTGTGGTTCCTAGCTGTATATTACCCACTCCAGCCTGGAGGCCGGGGGCATCTGAAAGCTCTGAGACAGCCGGACAAAGGGCCAGGGAGCAGAATCATCGCCTCTTCAGACAGCCTCAGGCCCTATTCTAACTGGGCCGTCCTTGAGGGGCCGGGTGTGCAGTGAACAGGGCTCCGGGGCAGGCAGAAAGAGCACGTGCCCTTGAGGGGACGTACCCCAGCCTGCTTGCCTGTGGCATTCCCAAGATAGAAACCAGGCCAAACGGAAGTTTTCCCGAGTCCGAGTCCAATTCCACTGCATGCAGCCACATTTCAAAGCTGTAAGAAAGCTGCAGCCCTGGGACTCAGCATGAGAATTCGACCTGATAACACTGGCGACTGCTACCATGTATTACACGTAATTATTACAGGTAAATTACATTTATGACATAATTGCTAACATTTGTTACATATTTATTACTGCCATGTGCTGCTCCAAGCACTTATGTGCTAAGAGTGTATTATTAATTTAGAACCAACGATTTAAACTCTTGATTGTGGGTATTACCATGTATTAGCCTCAGCCTCAGCGCGGCATAGAGCCTTGCACATTGTAGGGGCTTGGAAAACTCCGACAGTAGTCAATAGCAAGTGTTACTAATAAGAATCACTATTATCACTGGGCCACAGAGGCAGGCAGAGCTGACTGGATGTCCTGAAGGGGACAGGCCTTGCCAGAGGAAGAGAAGGGACCAGAACGTGGAAGGCATTGGATCTCACTCCTGGGTGAGGCCAAGTTGAGGTGAGGATATTCTTGTCCTATTAGCGGAGGTGGGGGCTGGGGAGGACCAGGGGAAGTGGAGAGAGTGGGAGATGGAGGGAGCGGCTGGCAGGCAGGCTGCGTCTGGAACCTTTGCCTCTGAGGCTCCTCTGGGTCGGGCTCTGCCGTCCAGGGAACTCTGACTACCCAGAGGCGTCGATGATGCTGAGTCCCCCGCGAGAATCCTCACTATCCCCGGATGTGAGGTGCCCGCTGTTCCCAGTTCCCTTCCCAAAACCCAGATCACCACCAGATTAACGGGGGATTCAGGTTCACCATCAGGGAGATCTGAAATATCTGAGGTTTGCAATTTCAAGACCCAGTTGGAGGCAGATCGAGTCCCTGCGTCTTCCGGAGCTGCAGCATGCTATCCTACGCCGTGCCGGGTGAGGACTTTGTGGTCCTTCCACCAAGTGCCTTCCTCGTGCCCCACGTGGAGGAACGGGGGCCTCCCAACCAGGACCACAGGAAGAAAGGTCTTCAGAGTGAGACCAAAGTGCTTGGGGTGAGTGCAGCTGCACAGAGGGGACAGGCTGGGGGTGGGGTGGGGGAGGAAGACTTGTCCACTGTGGGGGCGGAGCCTTCTGTGTCACTCGAGGGGCTCCAGGCTGCTCTGGAGGCTGGGGAGGGGCCTCTGAGACCACTTGGGCCTTTTCCATGGGAAAGCAAGAGATTTCCCAATTTGTCTTCACAGGGAGTGTCCACCTGAGCTTCTATTACAAACTTTTGCTTTTGTAACTCATTTTAAATGAATGACGACGGACGATAGTATATTTGTATGCACTTTATTTTGGGGTGCTCGAAATCTGTTAAACTCTTCTAGATTTTACTTCCCAGGAAGTTTTATTTCTGTAAATTATAAAACTTCATCCCCCTCCCTACCCCATGTGGAAACATTAACCATTTTGAAAACAAAGAGGACATTTGCCCTTTGTCTGCCTTCTGACAACATCTCTCTTATAATCCATGATTCCTTAACAAAACGCCACTGCATTGAATGACAGAAGGGAGGCAACAAGGGAAGGGAGAAAGGAGACGGGCGGCCACAAGGACCAGAAGGAGGGGTCCTGATGCCTGGTACCCCCTCAGTGCCTCCCTGCCCATGCAGGCTGCTGCAGTTCCCTCAATCTCACCACATATCCGTCTCACCTTGAGTTGAAAAATGCTTGCTTACTGAGTTGATCTCGTGGGCCTTTGAGAGACTCATTTATCACAACAGATGAGAAATTGCTTGGTAAACTTACACGAGCTTGAAAACTTGCGGTGGAATTATTTTGGGTCTGATTCAGAAAGTCCGCTTGACACCACTGTTATAGCTTTTGGGGTCCCTCTCGCCTAGGGAGCCATGCCCTGAATAGAAGTCTATGTGTCCATTCGTCTGGCAGAAGGTGGGGACCAGCTCCCACACCACCAGCTGTCTTTGTGGTGCATTTGTGTGCACAGAAGGGAGGAGGGGAGAGCCCGGAAGCACAGAGCTTGGGGGAGCCCACAGGCTGGGACCACGGCCCTCACCAGGAACCCAGGAACCTCCGCCAGGGCCGCAAGGCAGAAACAGCACGCATTTCACTGCGCCCTCATCTGGGGCAGCGACGGGCAGGGCTGAGCAGCATCCCCTCCACCCCGGCTTTCCAAACCCCCAGAACGACTTTCTGGTGCTATGAGGTCCACTTGGGTTACACGGAGAGCTCTGACGAGGTCCTGCCCTTAATTGGGTCACCCAGTGTGTCAGTTTCCCTGGGCCACCATGACAAATTACCCTAAACTGGGTGGCTTAAAGACAATAGAAACCTAACATCTCCTGGTCCTGGAGGCTACACGTCCAGAGTCAGGGTGTGTCGGGGCCGTGCTCTCTCCTCGTCCTGGAGCTGCAGGGGGGCTCCTCGGCTTGCAGCCGCACAACCCCAGTCTCCACCTCCCTCTTTGCACGACGCCCTTCCCTCTGTGTCTGTCTGTCTCTGTGTCTCTCCTCTTCCTATAACCACGTCAGTCATGTTGGATTAAGGGCTCGTCCTATTCCACTGGGACCTCATCCTAAGTGACATCTCAGTTACGTCTGCAAAAACTCTGTTTCCAAACAAGGTCACATTCCCCAGTTCCAGGGGTGAGGGCTTGGACATAGATTTGGAGGGACACATTCAACCCGCATCACCAGGTAACCCTTCTGTCTCCCCTAACAGACCATCCAGATCGTCTCCGGCACCATGATTATGAGCCTGGGGATAATTTTGGTGTGGGCTTCCTTCCTCCATCACTTCAGCCCCATTGTTTTAACCTTGATTTCATCTGGATACCCGTTCGTTGGTGCCAAGTGTGTGAGTCCCACGGGCACTCGTGGGAGAGTGGGTCTCTGGGAGGGGGTATGGGCTCAGCCTGCTCACCTGTTACCTGGTGGTGTCCATCGTTTGTAAAGACGCAGGTGTGGAATTTGTTTTAGTAGGGACCAGCCAGAAGTGGGAGGAGGCCAGGGAGGGCAGAAATGGCTCTGCTAGTGGGAACAGTATTGACTTGCTGGCTCAGGGATCAGTTCTTCCGAAAATCCCCGTTTTGTCGTCCTCTAGGGCTCTGGGAGTTCAGCAGCTTCTCTCTGGGGTGACCACATATCTGTTGCCCCAAGAGGGACACTTGTAAACGTAAAAGGAGGTGCTATTGATAACAATGCCGCGACAACAGGAATACCTGGACGGTCCCTGGCATCCGGGCCATAGGGTCACGCTGCTTCTTTCCAAGTTCAGGAGAAGTTGGGGTGGGAGCGAGGTAGGAAGGCCCCCCTAGATGTGTAAGTGAGGAGCAGCGAGACCCAGTCACACTTGCCGAGTGACCCGGATGTGGGCAGCGCACACCGGCCGAGTGGCCAGGTGGGCGGTCTGCGTCCGTGGGGCCAGTGGACCCTTCTCTAAACGTGAAGAGATGGCGCTGAGGGCTCAGAAGCTCTGCCTGCTGCTGTCCATCTCCTGGTGCCTGGAATGCCTTCTGGAAAGTTCTGCTTCAGACCCACCTGGGAGTCCTGAGTCATCCTGATGCCCCTGGGGTCAAGGAGCTTCAGGGGAAGGTCTCCTGAGAAGTGAATGACGCTTTCCCAGTCTAGAACCTTCCCACTCCCTCGCCCCACCTCTCGAGCTCGGAGGTGACTTTGCGCCCTCCCTCTGCCCGCTGCCCCACGTGCCAGCCCAGCTCTCCGGTGGCTCGTTCTGCTAGGAGCTCAGGGACAACTTTTTGCTTTCGTCTTGCCGCATAATTATGCCACATAATTTTGTTGCGTTACAGCTCCTTAGAAATTTTCCCATTCCCTTAAATCTATTTTTTTCTCTAATAAGCCAAAATCAAACACTTTTAATGAGCTTTTCACTAGGCCCTGCAGCTCCCCTCCCCAGCGCCCATTTTCCTTCAGTTCTTGATTCTCATCTGCCAGAGCCCACAGAGCCACATGCCTGCCCCTCCTTCCCCACAGAGGCCCTGTAACGCTCCCTGGAAAACCATTGCTCCCAGAGAAAGCCCTGGACTGCAAGCCCCCTTTGCCCTAGAGGCACTCTCTCTCTGAGGAGTTTCAGGTTCTCATGAGGTTTTCCCTGTGTTCTTTTGTCCTCCTACGTCACCTGCCTTCCCCTCCGTGTTAGCTGTAAGCCCCTATGGACTGGGGTGTGACCCTGCACCCAATGTCCCCGATGCCTTCAGTCCTACAGGAATGCTCCCAGAGGGTGACCAAGGATGTGACAACTTGGTGGCAGGGACAGTGGGGTGCATCTTTGCATAGAAACTGATCTGTCCGTTTTCCTCTTTTCTGAGTAGTTTATCATCTCTGGATCGCTGTGTGTCATCTTGGAAAAAATATCAAATAAGCGTTTGGTGAGTATGGGGCCAGCGGCACCTCACTTCCTCATAGGGACTTCGGGGACACTCATCCCGGTGGTTCTCCCGCACTTTCACATGAAGGAGTGGACCTCCAGGTCGGCTACAGGCTCCTCGGTCAGCGCCTGGTCACCACCGCTGATTTCGGGGGCTCCTCTCGTGATCCTGTTCTGTAACCAGCACTGAGCCCTCCCCAGGCTCTATGGGCTTCATGCAGAAACCCTGCCCGGTCAGAATCCCCTTTGGTGCCAGCTGGCAGCCTGGATCCGGGTCCTTGGTGACCACAGGGGACAGGGCAGGGAGGGATGATGGGGTATTTGCTGTGTGCCACCCATTGGACAAGAGAGTCAGAGACCACAAGAAACACCCCTCCCTGGAGATGAACCCAGAGCAGGGTCAGTGTTTGGGCTGGAGGAGATGTTCAGGCCAAGACCAGCCCTTGGTCACTGGTGGTGGCCAGAGGCGCGGTTACCTGCATCCTGGTGTTGCCAGGTCAGACAAGAATGGAGTGGAGGGTGGCGAGGGGGGAGGCTTGGTGACAGGGGACACGTGATCTGCAGAGGTTTCTCTTTTCCTCAAGAGGCGGTGGGGGGCAGAGAGCTGGGCGCATCAGAGGGCTTCTTGGGAAACTGAATCTGAACGACTCGAGACTAGGATGCAGGCTTCCTGCACCTGCCCTGAGAGCAGCTGTGGTCTCTGCCCTCCTCTGGGCCTATGCCGGGGTCCTGGCTACAAACGCCCAGGTGGGGCCCCAGAGTCCCCCTCCCACGCTGCTCCTGGCTCCCAAGCCTGCCTGCAGAGGCCTGTCCCTCACGCACTCCTGGTGTGTGTGCGGGAAGGGATGGAAAGATCTGGGTAAGTCTCAGTTCCGCTGGATCCCCATGTGGCTGATGCTGCTTTGGGGTGTCTGTTGGGGGACCCTCTGCCTCTAGCCCTGAGTGGGGGGACCCTGCAGGCCAAGCTGCGGTGACGTTACAGAGTGTGTCGAGGTACGCACCTGACACCAGCCCAGCCCCAGAACAGGGTCAAAGGCCTCCCGCTGGGCTCAGGGGAGATGCGGGAGGAGGGGGCCTCTTCAGGGCGCCTGGGTGGGTCAGGGAAAAGCCAGAAGGGGGTCTGGGGGACTAGGGCAGCAGTGATACGGGCATTTCAGTATTTTAACTACTCTGTCGGTGTGGCCCACCTCGACGTCAGTCTTGTCTGTGTCTTTGTCCGGTCCTGTCCAGCCCTGTCGGTCCCATCCAGAAGCATATGCTTCATTCTTAAATTCACCCATCCTGCGAGCATTTCCCCACTGGGCTCGGGAGCTCTGCCAGAGGGTGGAAGGCGACCAGAAACAGATTCTATCACACAGACTCGTCCTGCAGGAGCCCCATGTGAACCCACCTTTGCCATCCCTCAGGAATGCGGTATACCAGGGGTGCGTGCCTTGCGGGGGCAGAGACCCTGACCCAGAATTCCCCCGCAGGCTTGGATCAGCCTGGTCAGCAGCCTCCTGAGTCTCTTCATCACTTTTACGGGCCTCATCCTCCTCCTCGTCAACCTGGCTGAGGTGCTCGCCGTCTGGGGACGGTGCGAACTGGCCGTGGCGTCCAGGCAGAGGTCCGAGGACAACTACTTCTCTTCGAGAGATGTGACCTCTGGCTGCTTCTTCCTCGCGTCCAGTCTGCTGGTAAGCATGTTTAGATGGAATGTTTCAGACTGGGGAAATCCGTGAGGTTCTCGGCTTCCTGTCAGCTGTGTTCTCTTCTGATGGGAACTCCGGGGGAAAGTCTGGGAAGAGGCAGAGGAAAGGAGCCCGTGCGCTGAGGAAGAGCAGGCATTCAGTGGACTGTGCTCTTTGAGGAGTTTAATACCAAACAGGCCAAAGTCGCGAATAGATCCTTGTCAGCTCGGTTCGGGCTTGAGCACCTCAGCTCATAAGCACACCCGTCTAGCTGTGTGAGTCTCGAGGGATGGCTAGATCTGAACAAGAACCGAGGGCCTGGGGCAGTGAATTGCTCAAGAAAGGCCCAGGGCTCAGGGAGACGTTAGGGACCCTCCTGGGAGAGGTGGCTGTGGGCCGGCTGTGACCAGGCTTAGCACAACAAGAGCCAGAGGCTGGGGCACAGAGGGAACAAACCCTAATTCCTCCACGTGCAGGGGGGTGCATGGCGACGGTCAAAAACAAAGTGTCGAAAATCCAGAAATAGCAAAATTAAAACCACCAAATCCATAAAGAGTATTTAGTAAGAGTTTATTCTGCAGATGAGAACAGTTCGAACACTGGGAGCTTCCAAAAATAGAAAGTGACACCAAGCTCAGGGTTGTGACATTACAGGATGGCTTATAAAGTGAAACTGAGGACGTTGTTAACCTTTACAAGGACTGGCTCTTACAATGGGACTTTCCAGTTGGCTGGGAATTGGTTAAAAGTGATTCGCATTTTTAGGAAGATGACAAGTTTCTTGTACGATTGGCAGAGGCATTTACAAGAAATAACCCAAGTTAAGTTCCACTTATGTTCATGAAATAAGCTAGACTTAGTTTTTCTTATGTGGCTTCAATGGTTTTGTCTGCTCAAGAAATTCTCAGGGACGGTGTCCATTTTGTATTTGATTGTAACAATCCCCCCCTTTTGGTCATCTCAACAAGCTGAGAGTGTGACCACCTACTAGTGTTAGTTTTGGTTACCACTGTTGATGTAGCCAGGCTGAAGAATCACAGATGTGCTGTTTCCAATAGTAGAGTCGTCAGGATAGAGGGTCGTGCAACCAGTAGTCACATGGTCATCATGGACTTGGGCGGTCAGATCCTTGAGTTCCTCAAGTTGTCTGGTCCAGTGGATATCATTTGATGTGTGAGTGGCTGCTGAAAGGCATTTAAAACCCTTGAGAGGATCCAAGGCACTAGAGAGTTTAATGCGATGACTATAGGGAGAATAATAGCCAAGGATTGAAAAGCTCCCCAGAGCAGAACTTACCAGGACCCAAGATTTAACCAACCAAACAACGCAAATTGGTTATCATCAGATTCAGGCTTTAGTATTTTAAGTCAGTCTACATTTTTTTTAGTTATTTACAGAGGCATAACATGATGTATGAGCAATCACATATCCCCGCGATTACTTAGGAGAGGATGAACATGAGGATGTTTTATCTCAGAAGGCGGTGTTGCAGGTGAGCTTCCGTCTAGATTAGGTCTCTATATGCTGTGAGCAATCAGGTAATTCAATAAGAGGCATTTCGATGGAAATAACAGAAAAACAAAAGTTAATAGTTTGAGCAAATTATAAATTCAGTTTCTGAGTTTGGAGAGCAACTAGTTGAGAAAATTTCTAAATTTGAGCTTGAAGCATCTTTAGATGGTGGAATGATGGTGGTTTCAGTCTGATGGATTTTTCTGGTTTGCAGTTTGACTGTCTCTGATGATGTCATCGAGTGTTCGGTGGAACTTTCTTGAGTGGCCCGTACAGCAACAGGCATGAAGTTTGTCCATACGTGATCTATTGTGGTGATTTCTCTTAAGTTTATGAGTAGATTTTATTAGTAGTAGGTTTTATAAGTAGATAATAAAACCTCAAAGACAATGAACGAGACTAGGAACTGAAAATAGGTACACTGTACCCTTCTATCGAAATATAATTTTTCATAGCCATCCCATTTTTATCAAAGATATTTTCAATCTTTGTAAAATACATCTGGTCTTATTAAACTTGGATTGATTATTTACATAAATGTACTAAGAACAGTAATTCAATGCATATTCTCAAATATGACATTTTAGTCAAAGCTTTGGTAATATCCAGGGGGCTTTAATGGTTCTGTAAAGTCAACCTCAGTTCTTTAAAATTGTCTGGTGATAAGGAATCTCAGGTTAGACCTTTAAAAGTCTCTTTAGGTTGAGAAGCCAAGCTAAGGATTTGTCCAGTTGTGTCCTGTTACAAGGAAAACAGAGTCTTATTGAACTTATGTAAATACATATATTTCCACAAAAAAATAAGAATATTTAATAACAGTTTCTGAATCTGGGAGAGATCAGATAGGGAGAAAAAGATAAAAATTTCAACTTCTGTTTGTAAAAGTATACTTTATCAAATTGCTATCAGATATAGACAGCTTAAAAGAGAGGAGAAAAAGAGGTTCCTTAAATCTGGAAAATAAGACATTAAAGAACAAGCAATGTTTTCAATGAAGTCATAGAAATTATAATGATCTTCTTCAGTCCATTCAGTCTCCTGTAATTAATTCTTGTTTTGCTTGATCTCGGGTTAGCAGCTTTATGAATCAATCAGTTTCCCATTAGAGTTTTAGAAATTCTCACCCAGTTCAGTGTTATGATCTTAAAGTTATCAGAAACCTGCGTTCTAGAGTACTTGTCAGGGTCTTTTCCATAAATCTCCTTAAAGATGAAGCATTTTTGCCTGTAGTTGATTGTAAATGCTTTCAGAGAAGAATTGAGAGTAAAACAAGAACTGTCTGTAAGTGACAAAAACTCAAAAATAGCCACATTTAGAGCCAGCCTGATGGCCTAGTGGTTAAAGTTCGGCGCTCTCACTGTTTCTGTGGCCCGGGGTTTGTTTCCTGGTCGCAGAACCACACTACATCTGTCAGCTGCCATGCTGTGGCAGTGCTCACCCAGAGGAACTAGAAGGACTTACAACTAGCATATACGACCATGCACTGGGGGTTTGGGGAGGAAAAAGAAAAAGACGAAGATTGGCAACAGATGTTAGCTCAGGGCAAATCTTTCCTGGGGAAAAAAAAAAAGCATCTTTAAGACAAAAATAGCCACAGTTAAAGATCTGGGGAGAGTTCACCAAAGAAAACGATACAATTGAGGTGCAAACAGACACAAACAAAGATCTTATAGCTTTCATTTTAAAATTTTAGCCATGTTTCAGGTACAATAATGAAACTCAAAGGAATAGCTGGATGCAAACTGTGTTTCTGGCAGATGGACTAAGTTAAGATTACCTGCTGAGATGCCCAAAGTTTGTTCCTAAAGATTTTTTAATGTGTGCACTGTAAGGATTCTTTGGGAGAAGCTATTTTTGTAGTCATTCTGTCTTTTAGAAGCTTCTGCACCCCAATCGAGATAATGCATCCCATTGTCTCCAAGAGATTTTGGATCCTTTCTTTACAAGGGTGCCCCCTAAAGTGCACTCTCTTATGAAAGTTAAAGGTTCCCCAAAGTGGCCACTACAATTCCAAATTATCCTTTGTAAAGTCCACCATTTTCCAAAAAGTTGCAATGTCCTGGTCTGCGGTGAGTATGCACATCGGAAGCAAGAGTTTCTCAGGAAGGCGGATAGAGTTTTAAGACCAGGTGGAACCCATCTTTGCCTTTAGATTCCCTAAGACATCTTAACTATGAGGGGCCCTGTTTCTCAACAGCTGATCCAAAACACAGGCAATCATATGTTTTCTCTCCTTTTGAACAGAATAGGGTAACTTACCAAGAAGCTTCAACAAACAAAATAGAGGCATGCGCAATAGAATTGGAGAGCTCAAAACGCAAAGAAAGCAGAAATCAGTGGCGGGGGGTGGGGGGTGGGGAGAGGGGCGGGTAGAATATGGAGATGGACTTTTATAATTTTATTAGCAAGCGGAATTTTACAAAAATGATGGAATGCAGAGCGGCATTCCCGACTGTATCATATCAGAGAAAGGCTTCCAGTCAGTAAAGCCGGAGAACAGGTACAGGTCCACAGAACATTGAGAAAAAGACAGCAGATTAGGAGGAAGACGAAGGTTTCCATCCTGCAGCCATAGAGAGAGGGGAAGCCCCAGGAGGCAGCAAGCAGGGCCAGAGGAGCACAGAGACTTTTCCCCGCCTCATGCCCTGGCTCAGACCATCCTCCAGCAGATGAAGGCAGTGATAACAGGACCTGGTCGGGGTTGGATCTGCAGAGGGGTTTGGGTGAGGTTTATGTAGTGGACCAAAGATGAGCTTGTGAGGGATCGGGCTGAGCTCACTTGCTGAGAGTTTTCCCAGGAGCAGCAGACCAGCAACGTCCCCTTCCCACCTGGTCCTTGAATTCATTCCCTGGGGCCGCCATAACAAATGACCACACACTGGGCAGCTGAAACCACAGAAATGCATTCTTTCACGGTTCCGGAGACCTGAAGTCTGAAATCAAGGTGTCGGCAGGGCTGTGCTCCCTCTGAAGGCTCTAGAGGAGGATCCTTCCTGCCTCTTCCAGCTTCTGGGGGCCCCGGGCTTCCTGGGCTGATGGCCACATCCCTCCAACCTCTGCCTCCATCTTCACGTGGCTTCTCCTCTTCGTGTCCCTGTGTCCTCCTCTTCTTGTAAGAACACTTGTCATTGTATTTACAGCTCCCTAAATCCAGGATGATCTCATCTCGAGATCCTTAACTAATTAACTCTACAAAGACCCTATTTCCAAATAAGGTCACATTCTGAGCTTCCAAGTGGACATATATTTGGGGGACACTATGTAACCCACTACAGTCATGGTCAGCATAAATGAATTTGATGTTCCGCACACCTATGGCCTCACCTGTTCTACCTGGCGGCCCTTGCTCGGAGGAAGGTGACGCAAGGCAGTGGAGTTGTCTGGTTCATCCTCCTCGGGAGTATGCCCTGGCGGTCGGGGTGGGTGTTGGCAGCTATGCCAGCCGATCACTTTGAGTGGTCGCTGTGCCCCTTGCTGCCCGAGAGGTGAGGGCGGGTAGAGGGTGCTGGCACCGGTTTACGAAGGTCTCCGGTACTCCCCACCTCTGTGGACCTGAGGGACGAGCATCAGTGTCCCCATTTCACAGAACAGCAAACTGAAGCCTGGAGAGGTAAAGAGTCTCACCTGGGGAGGCTCTGCTCAACCTTGGGTGCCGTCTGCCACCCACACTGGAAACCAGGGCTTGACCCTGTCTCCCAGGGGTCGTGAACAGGTGGGGTCAAGTGTACAGAGAGCAGACGAGACGATGCCAACCCCCAGGCATGAGCAGGCAGCCGTCTTTGCTGGGAGGTGTTGCGAGGCTCTCCAAGGTTCCAGGCGGCCTGCAGCCCTCTGGCCACCGCAGGAAGAGAGGGTCGATTGGTCCGAGCACCCACCCTGTGTGTCCTGCCTTCCAGGGGGTGCTGTCCATCATGCTTCTCTTCACACTGTTGGAGCTCAGCATTGCTATCCCGTCTTCCATCCTCTGGTGGAAACAGGCCCGTTCAAGCACCCCCGGGGTGAGTCCGGTGGGGCTCGGGGACTCGGGGCTCAGGTGGCAGTGCAGGGAGTGGTCACGGGCCCACCGCAGCAGGTGGCACCGAGGTGGACCCGTGAGCGTGGTCCCGGCTGAGAGCGAGGCAGCTGCTGCAGGGCAGGACAGCAAGAGGGTGGGGGTCGGGGGGGGACTGCCGATGAGGACCTGGTGGGACCTAGAAAGCAGTTGTGCAACCCACTCACTTAGCAGAAGGGGAAACTGAGGCTCCTGAGGACAGACCACTTACCAGACACCCAAGACGCCTGAGCCAAGACGAGGGTCCAGGCCCCTCTCCTAGACGAGGCGCCATGTCCCCCACCCCAGCCAACCCCAGGGCCAAGGGCAGGTGGACCGGCTTCGTGAAGATTTCCTCCTCCTGGGATCGTCCCTCCTCCCACTTCACACTTGTTACACATACTTTAACACCCCTCCCTTACACATGAGAGCAAAACGTACTCAGACCGGATTCCACAACTCAAACACGGATTGATTTATGGGAGATTTTATTAAAGGACAACATGCCCAACAGCGGGGTGGGGGAAACACCTCGAGAGCCAACTGTGGCCTCGTGAGGGGCGATGACGCGGGCAGCCCGGCTGAGGGTCATGTGTGTGACGTCGGGAGGTTGAGAAAGGGACAGGGCGAAAGCTCAGAACTCAGTGCCTGTTCACATCCTCTGTCCTCTCCAGGTCGTGCTCTTTCTGGCTCAGAGTGACACGGTCGTCACCAGCGCGCCCCCAAAAGCATCTGCTGATCCTGATCCTCATCCTGGATTTGATGAACTGGCGGCCTCTTAGGAGAGAGAGCGTGAAAAAGATGGAATGAGACAACGAGAGACAGAGAGAGAGAGAGAAGGAGACAGAGAGAGTTATGGTGACCTGGGAGAACCGACGTTCCTTGAGAGGGAGAGTAGACCTCGCTGAAAACTTTGGCCCGGGATCCCCTAAGGAATTTATAAAGAGGCTTCTCTTCTTCTAAGGGAATGTTTGTTCAGCATGGGTGCCCTGGTTGCCTCACGATGATTCAAATAAGGCAGAGGTGTGACCAACCTCTCAGGGTGGCCCCCAGGGAGCCAGGGTGAGTGTCATCACATGGACCGTGAATCAGTCCTGAGGCTGGGGCTGGGGTCCCTGCCTGTGCGGTCAGTTGTCTGCAGGGCTTAGCTGAACGAGCACCAGACCCCGCCCGGTGGGCCCTCACCTTTTATCTCAATAATTTCTCCTGGTCGTGTGCATGGAGAAGAACTCTCGGATTACATTTAGGAACGTAGATTAGATGTTAGGATACTGAGGGACTCCTGCTAGGTGCCCCACAGCGGACAAAATGCCGGGTTTTCAAAGTCAAGCCCTGCCCGAAATGAGCCTAGTGGGGGACAACGCAATTTTAATACTATATGAGGGTGTTTTCCAAACAGCAGGTTATAGCCCATTAGGGGATCATGAAATCAATATACTGGATTAAGAAAAGCATTAAAAAGATAATCAGAAACAAGACAAGGGCCGGCCCTGTGGTGCAAGCGGTTAAGGGCGCGCGCTTCACTGCAGCAGCCCGGGGTTTGCGGGTTCGGATCCCGGGCACGCACCGACGCACCACTTGTCAAGCCATGCTGTGGCGGCGTCCCATACAAAGTGGAGGAAGATGGGCACAGATGTTAGCCCAGGGCCAGTCTTCCTCAGCAAAAAGAGGAGGATTGGCATCGGATGTTAGCTCAGGGCTAATCTTCCTCACACAAAAAAAAAAGAATAACAAGATAAAATGACTGACTGTGATACAGTGAGTACAAGTATCTGAGTGTAATGAGGCAATGTAGGAAGGACAGGACGGGCGCAAGTGAGACAGAATGTGTCTTTGAATTGGTGGGTTGAGATGCACACCATTTAAAGTGGTTGGTGGTCAGATTTGAGGATTCAGTTCATTAAGGCAAACCCCGTAGTGGACGCAACACGGCACCACCCAGCTCCCTCTCCAGGATGAAGGAATTTTTCTCTCACTTGCAGGGAGCACCGCCTGCTAAAAGGCCTCACTGTCAGCCCATTTTAGACAGCCACAGTCAGAGAGAGTGCCAACCCCAGGGTCACGTCCCCTCTCCAGGCAGCCTACATGCACATGCCCTGGGATGGAGGGTCCGGTCCTCTTGCTCTAACTCAAGACACCTTGGAAGGATCACCCCAGCTTCAGAGCTGTCCGGCTGTGGGCTTCATTGAGACTGCAGCACACTCCAGCTCTCCTGCTGCCCAAACCTGCTCCCTCCTCTCTCGCTTTCTCTCCTCCCCTTCCTTTCCCCAGGGGTCACCCCAGGAGCACCCCCTATGAGCTTCCTGCTTCCCCGGGGACCGCAGTCTGCCTCCACTGACACCAGGAGTGGTGGCAAAGAGCAAATGCTGACGTGGGATTTGGACCAGGATCACCCACCGCCTGCAGGAGACACAGAGCACACAGGGCGCTGGCCAGGCTGCCGAGCAACGGGCAAACCTCCCCTGGTAGTGGGTGGGGTCCTGTTGGGGCAGCGTAACAGGCTTCTGAGAGACATGTGGGAGTAGACTTTGTACACAGTGGAGTGGGGTGGCTCTTTGCATCCAGTCAAATGTGACCAGAGGCCGCGGGATGAGTGGACAATTGGAAGGAGGTGTGGAAGCCGAGGGCTACTTGGCGGATGGAGGACCTCCCCTCCTGCAGCCCAGGAGAGAGAAGCTAGGGTCCAGTCCGGGGCCTAAAGGCCGGCTGAGCTCCAGAGAATAAACACCCACCTGGGCCGCTCAGCCACGCCGGGATCAGGGACCAGGTGGGACCCTGACATGGATGGGGATATCAGGGTGATGCACCCCAAATCTTGAACCCCAGATTCCCTGCACCCTCTGAGCATGCAGAGTGCCCAATCCTCCCTATGGGGGGCACTGTCCCCTCACTTGGACACCTACAAGACAGCAGGTGACCCTGATCCCCCAGGGTCTGCCCACGCCTCCTCTCCTGGGCACTGGGCTGATGACGAGGTTCATCCCAACATAACCCAGCCCGGGACCTTCTGACCTAATAAGGAAGAGCCCCAGGATGGAGCCTGCATATTTCGGCAGAAGTCTGTGGCTGCCTTCTGCTACAATGGCAGAGTCGAGTAGTTCAACAGAGACTGTTGCAGCCTGTGGAGCCTAAAATATTTATTATCTGCCTCTTTACAGAAAAATTTTGCCAATCTCTGCTATAGATGAAGAAATTGAGACACCGAAAGACCAAGTGTGTTGCACAAAGGCCCTCGCTAGTTAGTGGGAAGGGACAGAGTCCAACAGTCTGGCCCAAGTCCCCCTGGTGCCCTCCAGTGATTCCCACAGTTCAGACCCAAGGGACTGGATTTCGTGTGCTCGTGTCATTTGCGGAAATAAGAAGCATGCCGTGAAGAGCACAAGTTTGGGGGATGGTGTCATACTTGGCGTTATCAGAAGGCAGTTCGATAAGCAAGTCTGGGGCTAAAGAGAGAAGGAGGCTGAAGATAGGTGTTCAGGAATTGAGTGATCCACAGGAAGCCATGGGAATGGAGGAGATCAGAATTCAAGGACACGGTTTAAATAGCAAAGAGCAGAATCCCAAGAAAAGTGGCCTGGAAAACATCAGCGTTTTGGGGAGGACAAGGGAGGGGAGCTGGAGAAGTCTGAGTAAAAAGTAAGGAAAAGCTGGAAATCAAGGAGGGAAAGTTAAGAGGTATGACGCCCAGAGGATGGAAAGGGCCTTCTCAGAACCTGGTCCTCCAGCAAGGGAAGGGGCTACTGTGAGAGCTTTCTACTGCTGTTGTAGCAAATTACCACAAACCCAGTTGCTCAAAACAGTACAAATCTATTCCCTTACAGTTCTGGAGGTCCAAAATCCAAAAACAGTGTCACTGGGCTACCATCAAGGGTCAACAGGGTTACATTCCTTCCAGAGGCTCCAGGCGAGAACCCGTTCCCGTGTCTCTTTTCAGCTTCTAGAGGCCACCTGCGTTCCTTGGCTCATGGCCCCTTCCCATATCTTCAAAGCCAACAATCACATTGCTCCTACCTCTGCTTCCAGCATTCTGTCTCCTCCTCGGACCCTTGTGATTACATATAGGGCCCACCTGGGTAATCCAGGATACTCTCCCTATTTTAAGATCAGCTGATTAGCAACCTTAATTCCATGTGCAACCTAATTCCCTCTTGCCAATTTAACAAATTCATGGGTTCTGGGGGTTAGGACATGGGCATCATTGGGAGGAGCCATTCTTCTGTCTACCACAGCTACTGGGATACAAGAACTCACAGCCCTCAGAGCCCCAGAGCACATTTGGGTGGCTGACTTTCTTTTCTGAGTCATGAGCGCGTGGATGGCATTGAAGCAGCTGGAGTGGCTGAGATCCTCTGGGACTCGGGCACGGCTCGCGCTGCAGACATAGTACATCTGGGTTGCCACTGAGCTCACTGAACTCTCCACCAGGACCTGGGTAAGGAGGTAGACCAGATGCCTCCACCCACATTTACCCTGTCCACTGTCCTCTCTCTGATCCCAAATTGCTCTTCACGTGCTAGCCATCCTAAGAGCTCCACCCTTGAGTGCACGTGCTCCCCAGGCCTCTGGCCCTTCCTCCAGGGTTTCTCTGCATTGTGCATCACCCCTCTTGATGACTTCTATTATGCCTTCAAGGGTCAGCTCAGGGAGTTGCTCCTTCTTTCTCCCCTGGATATTAGAGATTAGAGTTCTTATCACACTGTCCTGTAAATGGTTGTTATCTCGGGGTCCTCAAAGGCAGAGACTAGGTCTCCCCAACTCCCCCCACCTTCTGCATTCTGTTGGAGCCTGACCTGGAGGGGACATCCAGCAAATCAGTTTGTTGAATGCAGAAATGAATGAGTGAGGCAGACTGATGCTTAAGGGGCCCAGCCTGTGACGGTGAAGCCGAGAGCTCATCTCATCCTCCGGGGGAGCCAAGAACAGCAGGAAGGCCTTTTACTCAGGACACTTGTGCCAGGCCTGGGGGTAGGAAATAGAGGAAAGGGGAAGAGAGAGAGAGAGACAACAGGAGAGAAGAAGGGAGGGAGGGAAGGGAGGAGGGAGGAGGAGAAAGAGAGAGGAGAGAGACAGAGAGAGGAGGGAGAAGCAAGTGACCTCCTTACTCGCCCGAGGTTCTGCATGTCTGTCTTTGCCTTCTCAAGAGTGCCGAGTACCCACCTATCCGAAGAACCCAGCAGAATTTTCCTGAGCTCAGATCTCTTCACCACGGACCAGTTTTGCAAGCCAACCAATCATTCCAGCATTGACACCACAGGCCTATCTCTGAGAATGGGGACTAGTGGCCAGGCGATCTTCTGGTCCATCACCGTGGCTGCGGCCCTCTGTGGGTTGGTGGGAAGTGGAATCATAACTGGCTTGTCCACTTGTCCATCAAGAAAAACTCCTTTCTGTCCTTAGCCTCAATCTCACCATTGCAAATATCATGTACCTTTGCTTCCAGATTGTGTTCACTATCTAAATCCTAAAGTCTGTCCTTTCCTTTTCCATTATTACCTTCCTCTTCCTGGTATCTTCATGGTCCTAAAGTTCTCCTATTTCACTGGCCTGGGTATCACGACCGCCCTCAGCTTCCAGCGTTGTCTCTCCGCCCTCTTCTCTATTTGGTATCGGTGTCATTGCCCCCAGCACCTGTCAGCACCATGAGCGCCCTTCTCTGGATTCTGACCTCTTTGATGAATGTACTGAGAGGCCACGCCTGTGGTCAGTTACTCATCCCAAAACTAAGGTCCGCCCCGCACGTGTAACCGCCACCAGCGCCTGGATTTTCCTCCTGTTCTCCATCATGGGTACATCTGGCCTGCAGTTACCCACCCGAGTCCAG